ATGTACTAATAATGCGATCATGCATAAGCGAAGCTAGTGAAAATATACTAGTTAATATTATCTCATTAATTGGACATGGCACGAAAAGGGTATGTTAATTAAAACTGCGGACAATAGACAGAATTTAACATACTTTGAGAAATGCAGCAACGTAACAAACGTAACAAAATAACAATTTCTGAGAGAGTGGAAGAAGTCAACGCTGAACTTGACCCTTCCTAGTCCAAAACATGGACCGAATCCCGATGAAGAAGAATGAAGACATGATGCTCCTGGAATATGGGATGAATGAAACCTCGAGAGCCGTTGGCTGAGGTATAAGAAGACAAAATGTGAAACACTAAAACGTCTGGCAATATTCGAGACGACTACTCTGTAACTTGTTTTCCTCTCACGACTCCATCTCAGGCGTTCAAAATCTTGTTTTGATAAACGAGAAAGTAGAATAAGTTATGATATTCAAAATTCCCTTATTATAGTTTCGTTGTGTGTAGAATGCGTAAAAAAATAACTCCAAAAACAACTCCTCGAAGTAAATATTACACGGCTACGTTTTGATTTTTAAACTTAATGCGCCAGATCGGTAGTTCTCAGACTCAGTACTCAAATATACACTTTAAACAATCCCGTAAAAGTACATGCAATTACCGCAATTTTTCAGTGCTAAAAACACTATTTTATACTATGGTTAAAACATTAAAATAACACGAAAAATACTATCAAAATAAATATATACTTTAATTTTACTGAAAGTATCTGTAAGTTTTTAATGTCATATAAAAACCGTTAAAAAATAAAATGACGGCAAAAAGACGGTAAATTAACGGTGAAGTGGGATATGTAAACCTTTATCTTTATACACAGCTGCATTTTTTCTATTAAGGGTTCTCGCTCTGACCCTGACTATGCAGCTGATCTGATCGAAATTTATTATACATTTATATGTGTGTGTGTATAATATTCTAAACACATAAACTGTCTTTAAAAATGAATACTTTAAGCTTGTTTGAGAACAAAGCCACATTGGGCTATCTGCTGTGTCCACTGTGGGGAATCGAGCCTCGGATTTTAGCGTTGTAAGTCCGAAAACTTACCGCTGTCTCATCGGGGGTCAAATATTTTAAGTTTTCTATGATGAAGAATTTCAATATGATGTATTGATTTGATATATTATAAGCCTGAAACAGTATCTCTTTTCTTTTTAGTCTACGAAAAGGTTCTATGATTATTATTATTATTATAAAGACGATTATGAAAAGAACTAATATCCATCTTCAAATAAAAATTCTGGTCTTACATTTATATTATATTTATAAAAACTGTTCTAGTTCTTAAAAAGAAAACTGTTTGTGTGGTTTTAAAAATGGCGGAGGAACAAGTTGGCAAATTTTCAATTGATATATCCATACGCCCCAACTATAAAAAAATAGCCAGAGGATTTCTAGATTATTATGAGAGCGCAATTATTCAAAATGTTCATATTGAATTATGTAAACAAAGATTCAAAAGAAAGAAAAACTTACGTCTACTTAACGAACTACTTTTGGCTTCTTATTCACTATAGTCACAATCTGCCTACTCCTAACAAATCCCGCAGAAAAAAGTTGGTATTGGCGAGGCACAGGACTAGACACGTTATTGCACGCACGCACATAAAAAAAGTGACAGACAGAAATAGCCCAAATAAGCTAGGTCTGGCAACGCTATTGCGGACAAATTTCTGTTTTCAGATGTTTCTTCAGTTTTAGGTAACTCATTTAGTTAATTATTATCATTATTAATATCATTAGTATTAGCGGGGCCAAAGTGTCACAAGTCAAACCTTAGGACAGGGTAGATGTGTTTGTCATTTTAAAATTTTAAATTGATGTTTTTTACAGCACTTGAAGAAACACCTTTGTGATTTTTCAAATACAAGCATTTTTAACGTTTTAAGTTTTTATTTCGTGTTATAACTTGGCTTTTGCGTGCTTCATGTTGATTCGCCCATGTGTCGGAGGGATGTGTTAACAGCATATCAAGAGTCTGTCGTGCAGAAGCGCGCTGGCACACGGAGCCCGTGCCCCGAATCCCAGTTTTTGTGTTGAAAAATCAGAATAGAAAATCATGATCATATCATATTGAAATGCCAAAACTTCCTACGCCTTTGGGCTCGAACCACGAATCGTTTAAGCATCTAGCGACGCATCTACTTTCGTGTTTTTCATTTGTATTTTCTTCATTGGGACTGTACTGTACTTGACTTGAGGAAGTAGTCGTGTGATATGTCAAGTATTTATGTAAGCTATGAAATAAAAGTTTAAATGTTTTACCTTTCTTTCCATATGTTTTATGTTGAGCTTTTTTTTACGTATTTTAAGAACTATATTTGCCCGTCACGTGTTGGTTGTTGATTTGGATTTGTGAAACAAACTAGATTGGGGCTCTCTAGGACCAGGGTTGGAGACTACAGGACTAAAGAAGGTGATGAAATGCTATTAGGCTTAAAAATTAGGCTTACACAATTCAAGATGCGCACATGTAAATATTCTAAGGCATGCTTTCAGATCTTCAATACGTACATAGGGCGCCGGCGCAACGTGTTTTGCCGCCCTGTGACTCCCACCTCCCATCCACGCCATTATAGGAATTGTACACAATTACGCCCCCAGGAACCTGTCGCCCTGTGCAAATGCACCTGCCGCATCCCCAGTCGCGCCGGCCCTGAGGTCACTGTACATTTCACAAATGTGCATAAACAACTAATGTGTGTGTGTTTTTTGTAACAAAGCCTATCTGCTGTGTTCACCGAGGGGAATCGAATCCCTGATTCTAGCGTTGTAAGTCCGAAGACTTACCGCTGTCCCACCTGGGGACCCTAATAAATAGAATTATTTCACGTAGATAAACCATTTAAGGTTTTTTGATTGGAATTATAAAAAGAAGGAAAAGAAAATCTTGAAACATATAATAAAGCCATTGTTTTATGTGGATTGATCATTAATTAAAATTTCAACTGTTTCAACTCAAATACATGGTAAAACAATTATTGATTTAAAAATGTTTCTTTGTAGAATGACTGTAAAAAAGCGTTAGAAATACATGGTAAAACAATTACTTTATGTCGAATAATTATTAATTCATTGACATTTCCTTGTAGAAGAACAGTAAAAAAAGAGTTAGAAATACCTGGTAAAACAATTACTTTATGTCGAATAATTATTAATTCATTGACATTTCCTTGTAGAAGAACAGTGAAAAAGCGTTAGAAATACATGGTAAAACAATTACTTTATGTCGAATAATTATTAATTCATTGACATTTCCTTGTAGAAGAACAGTAAAAAAGCGTTAGAAATACATGGTAAAACAATTACTTTATGTCGAATAACCATTAATTTATTGGCATTTCCTTGTAGAAGAACAGTACAAAAGCGTTAGAAATACATACTGAAACAGTAATTTTAGGGGAAAATTTCATAGTGAATTTAACAGAAGACACGGTGCTTTGATTTAAGGTTCTGAACTTATTTTTACGGTAAAATGTTTTGCAGCTCGACTAACAGTCTAGTTACCATAACTTAAAAGTGATTTTTTTTTTTTACGGTGTATGCGGAAAGTGATCCTACCGTTTATAAAAGCGGCACTGACATAAATAAGTATGTAAGTTTAAGAAATTTTCCAATAAGACATTATCTTTATTTAATCGAAAATGGTACTATTTATCCTATCTTTAACTCTTAATATGAATATTCGATCTTTACCGTCGAGGACCCCATTCAGCATGCTCCCAGACCTCCTAGGGCCCTTGCACCTCAGGCTGAGAACTAAGGCTCTAGATAACGTGATTCGTAAGCGGAAATCCTAATACCGTGGTCACAGTCACGTGATTAATTTGCATATGATTAAGGTTGATTTCTTTTGAATTTTGTACAAAGCTACACGAGGGCTATCTGTGCTAGCCGTCCAAAATTTAGCAGTGTTAGACCAGAGGAAAGATAGCTAGTCAACACCACCCATTGCCAATGTTTGGGCTACTCTTTTACCAACGAATAGTGGGATTGATCGTCACATTATAACGACCCACTTTATGATTAAGATTGTAAGTTTCGTTTTATTTCTTCTCAGCTAATCATTCATTATAGACTAACGGTGTTAGACCAATATTCCGGCCTTATTTACATTCGCTAGATATGCCAACCATATTAGTGGTGATCACAGTAGCCGTTTCAGTTCATCTTTGTCGCCCGATGGAACAGCGGAAAATGTTCGTACTTGCGATGCTAAAATCAGGGGTGAGTACCCATCGGTGGACACAGCAGATAGCCCGATGTGGCTTTGCTATAATAAAACAAACTGTCAGTTCATCTTTATTTGAAAAGTCAACATTCCATGTTAAACACAGGACAGACTTGAACTTTGTTTTGCCTACATCGATTTGAAAGTGATTCAGTTCTGATTCATATGTAATACAAATAATACAGGTTATTTTCCATCCCTTTTGCATTTCTTCATACTTAGGCCATGAGTGGCTAAGTGATTAGCATGTTCGGTTCGCGTCCCGATGCTGCAAAAACGTTTCGCACTTTGGGACTGTGGGTGCGTTATAAGAGTGGCAATCAGACAAGAGTTGGCAGTGGGTGCAGCTGTCTTCCCTCTAGTGTTTCAGTTCAAAATTATGGACGGCTATGCGTAGGTAGTCCTTGTGTAGCTTTGCGTAAAAATTCTGACAAGGAACCTGGATTCCTAGGCACGCACATTTAGATCCTAGGGCGGTGTGATTCTAGCGGTTAACTTTCACATAAAAGTCAGAAGTTCCCACAAATATTAAATCTTCAAAAATATTAGTCTAAGATGAGTTGCTTTGATATTAATAAAAAATGTAATGCACTTAGTTTCAGATTATTTTTATTTTATTTTTAAAAATTAAATATAACATGTAAAAATATTCATTGGTTTTAATATTAAGTACTATTAATTGACCATGTTTGAAATCTACTTGATTGATTTTTTTTTTTCAGGTAAAAATAGGTACTCTCAAACAGATTTTCAGCTTGATTCGTCAACTACGCCATCGCCTGCAGTGACGTCATTATATCACAGGGAGGAAGAACCTGACGACGGTTACCATGACAACATATTATCTCAACCAACAAAAATCAGTGAAGTCGATGTTAAATTACTGGAATCGGAAATAGCTGTTCTACCAGGTAAGTTGAAAAAAAAATTACTTGTCACGTTCAAAGACGGATACAATTGGAACTGTAGAATGTCTTGTGATTCTAAATGTCATTAATGGAAAAACATCTCAGTCAGTAACATATTCATCTGCTTCTGTCTGGGAGAGTTTATCATTTAATGTAACTAGATGTATTTATATTTCTTTTTATATTCATCTATCACTGTTCATATTAACAGTTTGTATCTTCTATGGCGCTTATATACATCTATTCATGTTTGTAGTGACCTAACAGCGCTTGTATTTATTTGTCGTGTTTGTACTTAACTATAAGTGTTTATAGTGAAATATCAGGTTTTAATTTATCTAAATATTTGAATACATATGCCATGTTTGTATTTAACTATAAATGTTTTTTTTTATCCATCTATCGTGTTTTTATATAAATGTTTCTATCGTCTGTCTAGTGCTTTTTATGAACAGTAAGAAATTTAATGAACTTTATAAATATATGAAGTGTGAGATCTGAGTAAGGAATGTAACACTCTGTCTACTATCTAAACAATAGAGGATCTAATGCACTTGATCTACAAATTGTAAGGATTCCACTTCACGTTATTATAAACAGTAAGGAATGTAATGCACTTTGTCTACAAATTGTAAGGATTCCAATTCACGTTATTATAAACAGTAAGGAATGTAATGCACTTGATCTACAAATTGTAAGGATTCCAATTCACGTTACCATAAACAGTAAGGAATGTAATGCACTTGTCTACAAATTGTAAGGATTCCAATTCACGTTACCATAAACAGTAAGGAATGTAATGCACTTTATCTACAAAGAGTAAGGAATGTAATTTCTGTTTCTCAACTCGGAAATTCAGGATTTCAGCTGTAAATGTTTGAACCTACAGCCAAGTTGATGACTGTTTAACTGTACTTGCATGTTCAATACAAGAATCATTTGAGGAATGGAAATGTTTAATTTTTGAAATGCACTTGTCGGTATTTCTTAAGGGGTAGGACCATAGCTGAGTGTTAATCGTTGATTTCTAGACGTGCCTTAAGTATAGCTGATACCATTCTGTAAACGGTGTTAAGTGAAAAAAAAAAGAAGTTTCGGGTGACTACTAGTTTCCATGGAGAAAGTTTCGTGACTTCAGCATCTATCTAAATCAACGTTATTCCCCTGTTTCAATCAAAGAGTAATGCGTATCTGTCATTTATCGGGATCGTTATCTACAATCAAAATAAAGAGGTTTCACGTTGCACAAACTCTTTGATTTATCATACAATAATTCAATTAATATGTTAACAATACGAGAAACTTTTTAGGAACTTTGGATTTTAGGCCATTGTTTGGATATATCCTGTCCTTGGCATCAGTTTTTCTATGGTATAATGTTTATACATCATTAACACTAGCAGAAAAGCCGCCATAAGGGGCAGCTGTGCTAGTAATTACTCAATGTATTATTCATACCTAATTGAAAAAATTAGAAAAGTGAACATTTCCAAAAAAATATATAATTTCTTTTCTGGGAAGTACTGCTCGGGAAAAGTGTTCAGATTGCATCAAAATGATTCAATGTACAGAGCTTAAAATTTTCATAAATTTTACTTATATAAACTGTAATGTTTTTATATATTAAAAGTGCTACCCTTTATTCAATAAATAATAGTGTTTTATGACCGCCAGTTTATCAGTACTACATTTAAAAATTACATCCATAAAGATATAATCAAACTCTCACGTACAGTCCTAGTGAAAGTCGTGTTCTTGTTGTGAGGAGAGTAGTTTTATTTAAAATTGTGTTCTATTATAAAGAAATGGTTGTTGCATATACCACAGTGTGAAATTGTTTTTGGATTTTTGTTTGTGGTACTATTCAATAGATGGCACAGGTGTTTTGGTTACATACATAGAAACTGACTTACATGCTACGTCCATTATATTAAGAAGATCATATTGATTATCGATAACCTGTCGTTACAGAAAGAATCATTTAACGTCTTCTACTTTAAAATTATCTATCGAAGTTGAAAAAAATCCACCCCATTAAGTATTTCAGTAGTGAAAACATTTTATACGTATGTGTATATTTACAGACTAAAGAAGTTTAATGGCCATGATCATGGAAAATGCACAGAATCACTTTAATAATAAGGAAGCAGTATAACTCCTTGAATTTTTACAATCACGTGACCCTGCTCAACGCGTTGCTTTGGTTATCAGTATTATGTCTTGTGATTTAGTCCTTCAATGTGTTAGTGGTAAGTTTACGGACTTAAAACGCTAAAATCTGGGTTTCGATTCTCTGTGGTGGACAGATCGCCAAGTTCGTTTCTTTGCGCTAAAACAAGCAAATAAACAAAAACTTGTTTGTTTGTATGTAGTTAAGCACAAAGCTGTACAATGGGCTATCTGTGCTATGCCCACCTAGGGTATCGAAACCCGGTTTCTAGCGTTTTAAATCCACAGATATACCCTTGTGCCACTAAAGGGGGGGGGGACAAAACTCATGATTTATAATTTCATCCCTACTCTCAAATTTTCTTATTTTATGTTAGGCATTGAGTTGTGAAATAGAAGAATCACAGAATCTAAAAAAAAAAACATCACATTTTCTTAGGTAATAGAATAAATTCTACAAAAACCAAAAGAAAGGAGCGGAATCATGGTCGAGCAGGACAAAGAAACGTTGCTATACCAACTTTAGCATATACTCACTAATGATTAGTCGTTTTCTATCTCAAGACCGGAATACTTTCTTCTACTCATTCTACCACGTGATTTAGCTATTTACTGTGGCTTTTCTTATTACAGAACTGGGTTATTATAATAGATATGGAGGTTATTAGGCACGTGAATTGGTCTTTAGTCGTAGTAACTTAGAGTGATTGTTCTTATAATAATCTTTGAAACTTTCTTTCAGTTCAAATTATTTTTTGATAGCTAAAGGTAAACTCATTATAATGATGTAATAAGGTAGAATTTGGTTTTAGACGAGGATTTTAAAATTTTCTTTCAACGCCCAGTGTTTCTCTAGAACTTTACACGCATTTATCCCACAAACTTTAATAATGTATATAAATTACAAAACTTAGCGTACCCCACAGTGGCACAGCGGTATGTCTACGGACTTACAACGCTAGAAACCGGGTTTCGATACCCGTGGTGGGCATAGCACAGATAGCCTATTGTGTAGCTTTGTGCTTAACTTTCAACAAAACTTAGTTCTGATTTTCTGCAGATTTTTTTAAATTATTACTTAACTGTATTGCTCTTTGCAACGTTGAAAGATGAGGAGCAGTGTGGCCATTTCAGCTGAAGCTTCGATACCAGCAAATCCGCTAGTGTAAAAACTACAGTTACATTTCATCTTGCAGTTTTAAAGTTCCTTCTTGCCACTAATACGAAAATTGAAAATTTAAATTTGCAGATACAAAGCTAATCACGAACTGCACAGCAAGCCCCAAACAAAACTTTGATATCGGGGTAATTTTGGCACGAAGCAACAAATACGACCGTGATGTTTCTTGAATATTTAGTGTAAGATTATAGGAAAGTTCAACACTCCAAATAGCTTTTGAAAAATACGTAGATAACTAAATATGGCAAGGTAACCAGACGACTAGAAGATTAAACATTAAGCACAACATTTGAAACTAGGTAACTAAACAAGACAAGGTAACCAGATTAAAGGAAAGTTAAGCATTCTACACAGCTTTTGAAACATAGATGGAAACTAAACAAGACAAGTTAACCAGATTACGGGAAAGTTAAATATTCTACATAGCTTTTGAAAAATACGTAGATAACTAAACAAGACAAGTTAACCAGATTACAGGAAAGTTAAATATTCTACATAGCTTTTGAAAAATAGGTAGATAACTAAACAAGACAAGTTAACCAGATTACAGGAAAGTTCAACACTCCAAACAGCTTTTGAAAAATACGTAGATAACTAAATATGGCAAGGTAACCAGACGACTAGAAGATTAAACATTAAGCACAACATTTGAAACTAGGTAACTAAACAAGACAAGGTAACCAGATTAAGGTTCAACGTTTACTGAAAGAAAGATAATGCTAATACGAAGATATGGAAGAAACACATCCAAAATCAGATTGTTTCAAATGAAGAGAGTGTGTAATAGGAATTATTCACTGTAATTTATTTTCCTTTACTAATGGGAAGTCCTGGAATAGAGTAACTCATTAATACTACTGCTCGTATGGTCTTCTTTTCTACTTCTTCTTTTTAAGTTAGAGCTTGTACTTGTAATAAAGAAAATAATCTTAAAAATTTAAGAACGTGTGGAATTATTATAGGATCACGTGACGTCACTGGAAGGAGTGTCGTCGTAATCACCTTATCTATATGGCAGAAATATTCTGAAATTACAGCTACACAGATGGCGCTGTTGTTGATGTATTTTCATGGCATCCCTAAGTAAGTTTTTATATCTTTCTTTCTATTTGCCAATCTGGTTTTGATTTTCTTTAACTATGTTTTTGATTTTTTTAAATCTTTTCACTGCTAATAAATTAACGCCTATATTGATTAAGCTGAAGTTGTAAGTAGAAGACTTCTCAAAAATGTTCAGTAACCGTCAAGATTAAAACACGAGTTTCATGGCATTTTACGTTTTAGGAAAGAAGTAATAAGACGAGGGTTTTTAGTGCTGTTAGACTGTCACCATGCTTCAAATACAGAATTAACCGAACTTGACGAAGCACTGTACCTATTACAGGTAAAATACGTCTTTTATCCCACTACTGAGTAAGTGTGTTTGAATGTATGACTTGCTTATTTGCAATAAAAATAAATAAATATATATATATTGAAGACGAATAGTTCTAGTGTAAGCGAAGGCATACAACTTTTGTTTAAATGAGGCTATGTAATTTTTGTATAAGAGGAGGTTAACAGCTGTAAGCGAGAGTATATAGCTTTTGTATAAGTGCGGGATCCAGTGTAGCTTTTTTTTTTAGATGAGGTATGTACAGTTCTTGTTTAAATAAGGATGTAGAACTCGTGTATAAAGTAGGTGGTTGTTTCCCATTTTTAAAATTTCGATGTCATCTCATGGTTCCATTGTGTACGTTGTAGATGCAAAGTTCTTGTTTATCTATGGGATGAGCATTTCTTGTTTAAGAGATGTAATAGCTACTGTTAAAGTGGGACAGCTCCTTGTGTAGTACATTTTTGTTTGTTAACGTCGTGTCATTGGAAGTACTTTCTTCCGAATAAATTAAATTTAGTTACTAGTCTTTGTGATATTTTTAGTGAATCATCCGAAATATTTTATCGCAATTTTCTTACCATATTGCAATTGCAGGCGAATGTGAATAATGCAGTCAGTTCTGTGTTGATCTGGACAATGGAAGAAGGAATTGACCAATCATATTTCCTTAAAAGCCAAGTCAAAGTAATGTATTGTTTTAACATGCTAGAAAAGTTTAAAATCTACATATAGCAGTTGTTTTCGTTGTGGTTATTTGTGTAAGAAATATGTTGTTATCATTTGTTTCAATTTATAGAAACCTTGTATTTATCTCACATTAAACAGTTTTCCCGTTGTAGCTTTTAAAACTAGACACAGATAAACAAGTTTATATCTTTTAAAATTCTTTTGTAAGTACCTCAAAATCTATAATAAAAAAAAACAGTTGTCGTAGAAATTAAATACAAACCGTTGAAGTTTTAATTGTAAAAACAAACAAAAAGAAAACCCCCTGTCTACTCAGTCAAGCTTGAAAGTAATTGATAACCTATCAGTTGATCTTACATCGTATTATTAAATAGAGTATAATTTTTTAACTAATTGTACGATATTTTTGTGATGACTTACTATGTAATTTTTTTAACAGTACGAGGTGATAACAAGTAAAGAAAACCTTCACAAATTTATTAAACAAGAACAACTACTCCCACAGATTGGCGGTAGTTATTTTTATGACCATCAGGAATGGGTGAGCTTCAGAAAGGTAAAGTGGCCACTTTATTTTTTCTTAACATATATTAATCAATTTTTGTTACATTCTATTGTAGAATAAAAGGGAGAAGCATTTGAACTTTGTTTAAAGCATAGCTTTAATTGGGTTATCCACCCTTTGAAATCCAATATTTTTTATGTACAAATCATTTGGCTTTCAGAGCATTGAACCTTTTATTAATGGTTGTTGCATTTGTGGGCGCCACCTCGTGAGAATCATGCAAGAGTTATGTACCAGTCGTATGCCTTCGTCAGCCTCTTTAACAAGTCAGTTGATTGAACATCATAGGCGAATCATCGGTTCCACGTTTCAAGGCGATTATCTGCGCCATCTAGAAGAAGAAGGAGATACTATTTTGAAAAGAATTGTTTCTATTCAAAAACGTATGCCTCATAATGTTGATTACAGGTGAGAAGACTATTATTTACACAGTACAATGTTAAAAATACATTTTAAATTTAATGCTTTAAACTATTATTATTATAATATATATATATATATATATATTACGTATCACTTTCAACTTTGAAAATATTGTACACCTTATTTAATCCCAAACCTTCAACTACCATTTGGATGTATTTATATATAAACAACTATTTCATCACAAGCCTAGTTCAGCGTACATACCGTGTGGCGTATAACAGAATCACGCAATTTTATCGTCCTGCACGAAAGGCATGAAACTAGAAAATTTGTTATTTGATATAAATACCTTTTTTATTTTTCGTCTAGACATGTTTTAAGCCTTGTAACCTATTAGTATTTTTTTTAATGATCGTCGTAAGCCAAGAAAGTACTAATAAAACATGTATGATGTGTTGCATTTTCCGTTTGTAGAACACTATCTGAATTAAGTATAAGTGGCTTATTATGTAATGCTACACACCAGCGCATTGAATCAAAAGAGTATGTTTATGTTTTTTTTGTTATTAGCTTATTTAATATTGTATAAATAATTTTAGGTGTTTCCTTGAACTTGCTGCTAATATAATTTGTTCAAATGCTCTGTCAGATCGGCTACATAAAGTTTTACAGTTGGTAAGTGTAAAAACGTACTCTCATAAGGATGTCCACTTAAATTATTACAATGAATGTGCGTGAAAGCGGATATCCTACTTCGAACTATACAACTTAACTCCTTTAGTCATAATGAAACTCCACGTAAATAGCCTATGAACACGTACACAGTCTCAAAACAAAAATAATCATTCTTAGAAAACCTTTGTTTTCGCAAATATAAATAATCTTGACCAAAATAAGCATTGTTACTTTTAAATGTTATCGAACGTTAAAATGTTTTGAATTTCATAACTTCTCACCTCTTTCCTAAATTTTGATATCATTATGTTTTCTATTCTTAAGATTTCCGAGTTTGTGATACATATTTATTACATTAGTATTTAAGTGTCACATATTTTTTTTTTTACTAAGCGTTAGATTTCTCTGTTAACGAATACTACTTAAATTGCTCATGAATTAAGTGTGATAGTTTAGATTATTAGGCTTACTCACCTTTTACATTAATGCTCTGTATTATTCATAGCATTAAAGTGCGAGTTTCGTAGAAATTATGCTATTTAGCTGACTCTTTAGATATACCACACAAGATGTAATAGTTTAATAATAAAAGAAAGTTTTCCCTGTAACTATTTAGATAATTGTCCACCTTGATGATCCATGACCAATATTTCATTAACTATATAGGGAGACTGTAGACAGGGGAACTACCCTATATAGGGAACTTCAGTGTGCTGTTAGAAAGTTAACTAAATTAGTGGAAAAACGTCAGAAGAAACTTGAAACCTGTCTTCGTCTCAAAACATTTGAAGAAGAGTCAAGTCAGGTTGGAAGCTTTAATGTTTACTTGATTACACAATTTTGGTTTTAGCGATAACTGCCATTGCACATACGGGAAATCTTAAACAGTCCTATTGTCAGTATTGAACAATTGTTTGTGTACGGCTACACTAACAACAGCATCATGGAATATTATAGGTCTAATAACTAATTAAAAGTAACGTTAAGCCAATTAATATTTTAATTTTTGTTTTTTAATGACCGTATGAAATAGGTTCAATTACGTAAAAGATAAAATACTCTGAAACATAAATATTTTAGATGGAAGAAGGAGAAGTTTGACTCTTCTTTAAGGTGAATAAGTATAAAGTTCTCCAGTTGGAAGTGCAACTTAATGCCAAATTATTTATATACGTCTATGAATAGATATTGCTTCATCCTAGGCATAAGACACGTAATAAGACTTTAAGTTTATTACTATTATTATACAACTAGCTTGCGTATCTATTGAACACAAAGGGTTTGTTTGTTTGTTTTTTAATTTCGCGCAAAGCTACACGAGGGCTATCTGCGCTAGCCGTCCCTAATTTAGCAGTGTAAGACTAGAGGGAAGGCAGCTAGTCATCGTCACCCACCGCCAACTCTTGGGCTACTCTTTTACCAACGAAGAGTGGGATTGACCGTCACATTATAACGCCCCTACGGCTGAAAGTCCCACGATCATGTTTGGTGGGACGGGGATGCGAACCCGCGACCCTCAGATTGCGAGTCGAGCGCCTTAACCACCTGGCCATGCCGGGCCAGAACACAAAGGGGAGACATATGCTTCCAGAGGAGGGTGCTAGATTCAAATATCACCTGCCATGGAGCCATAAAAGTGGATGTAAAATCCGAAACCCCTCCCCAAGCCACTTTTTAGGGTGTCTTTAAGGTGCCTTCGAACTTTGGTAGAGATCAGTAAAATGGTACAGGGAAAACATAGAATCTCCCGGATGGTGACAAAGAGGGATCATACCCCAACACAAAAATATAATATCATTCTCCGAGGAGAGTGAAGGGAAGACACCCGTCTGTCGCTGTGTCTGCTTTTCACGCCTATAGTTTTTAACCGAAGTCAAACAAACTTGGCATGTACCTTTTGGGACCCCCAGTAACTAAGGGATTGGTCTTAACTGACAAGTAATTTTCACTAGTGTATTACACTGTATAACAGTTGTATTATGAACATGAAATATGTATACGCCACCGCACTGAACGTATTAAACCTTTGATATTATATTAGATCATTTCTAATACTTTTTAAAACATTATAATTCAAAATGTGCTCTATTGTAGATATTTCTGTGAAATATATATTCAGTATGTGAAAAAATACATTCAAAACTTGCTTGATGGATGAGAAAAATATGTTTTAAAATCCACATGGTTTTGGGGTAATTCAGTTGTATATGGCGGCTTTATCATCATTTTGTGAGATATCGTGTCTAATTTCCATATTTAAAAAGTTGTTGTTGAATGACAGTCAAATAAGTAATAATTTATAATTAACATAAATTTAGAAGAGGCCTAAGTAAGAGGAAAAATTAGTACTTAAATCTTAAGGAGAGCTTCACTGACGAAGGTTCTATGAGTAGCCCAAATGTCCTCTGCTTTTTTGTTTCACTGATATCCCTCTTGTCCCCTAAGTAGTAAAATATGCTCGAAAGCTGATAATATCGTGGCAGTTTTTTTAAATTGGAATAAATAATTTCTATTTGTATTTTGCATGTATGGCAAAGCTATTAACCCACTGACTGCTGATTCGCCGTATAGGATACAGTCTGCCTTCGGCAGTTGAATGCGAGTGTGCTGTATACAGTTTACGGCTCGCAAAAATTCCGTGCACGTTTAAAGCAGCCTTAGTTAAAGGGTTAAACTATCTTCCGCCGTCCCAAGGTTTGAACTACTGATCAGTGGGAAGTCAGCCTGTCAGCAGGAACATGTCACTCATCATCCACGCTAAGGGATTGACTGTCACTTTTATAACACACCCACAGCTTAAAGTGCGGAAATATTTTGCGATATCGTATGCACTGGAACCTAGCTCGTCAGTTCCGAAAACCTGAGCTCTATCAAAGGGCCAACCCTCGCCAGAAATAACTATGCTTGAGGTAAAATCAACACCTTCAACTTTAAGCAAAGGCTTCTCAAACAAACTGGTGAGATACACGTTTCTGTCGATAACTCGAATTTCCTCTGTCGCAATATCTTTCGGCCACTTTTATCGTGAAAGAATAATATTTAAATATTATTCAATTTGATAATTATGTATACTTCCTACCTTACTGCATAGAAACTAAAATGGAAATACTCGAAAAATGTCTAATAGTTCGGATAGGAAATTGATGAAATATGACACTGCCAGTAGTGTGGATAGCTCCACTCTTTAAAATTATTACAAGTCATACTTTTATGCCAAGCCACACAAAGTGTCTCAAAAGGACGAGAAAATTTAGTTCAAATAAAGGTGTTTCAAATGTAGGCTTATGACGAACCTATTAAAAAAATGTGAGTAGGTTAGTTGAAGTCAATGCACCAAAATTAAGCTTTGGTTTTGATGTATAATTATTTCTTTACTCACCACTAGTAACTTAAATAACTTTAAGTGTTTGAATAACATGACACGTGACATATAAAAGTATTTTAAGTTATTAGTTGTGAGTAAAGGACTACACTAAACAAACTCCTTATATTTCACCACTATTTGAGACCGATTTTGTTAGTATGCTTCGCTCTTCCAAGAACCATTGATGAGCTGTGAATTCAGCGAAACTAGTCTGCTGCATATATTTTGGGCTTCTACGTCATCGTTTCTGCACGGAAATTCACATTTTGGCAATGAGAAGAAATCCTTAAATAAATAAAATTAAGCTTTATTTAAAAAATAGTGCTTAGTTTCTAGGGAAAAAAAAGATACACCAGATCCTTGTTGCTAGGGTGGAGGGATGAGTTTTGAAATATCACATTGTAAACGTTATTCGTGTTACTACTTAGAATGGGGCTAGAAGAAATACTATAGTGCACCATGTCAGTCAAGTATCTATTGGGGATACAACCGAAAATGTTATTATTATGATCACCTTTAGATTAAAAACAAATTAATCCTAAACACGTTCCATATCTGAGACTCGTAGAGAGCTGACAAAAATTAATCACCAATTGATAGACTTATGTAACATGTTATTAAAACATAACTATAGAAACAGTTAAAAATTAGTATTTCTTCTTCGGGCAAACGTATTTTTAATAAAGAAGAAGGGGAGGAGAGTTGTGTGATTAAGTTTTAAGTAAAAAAGAGCCTCGTAATTTTTATACTAGGTTTGTCAGTCATCAAAGTTTACCATTCTAGCAATGTTTGTTCTAATTTTTTGGAAATATAAGAAGTATGTGTGGTGTGTTCATTGACATTATAAAACGATGACGTACAGTGGTGATTTGAACTGGAGGTATAGGTTTTGTTGATTTATGTAGCAAATGAAATATGCGTTGGTGATGAAATATTAGACCGTTTAACATCTTTATATAAAAAAAAATCTTTAGAGCAGTGGTTTTTAACTTTTATTTTGCTCCATGCCCCACCTCGACACCTCAAAAAAGTTGATGCTCCCTTAATATAAAAACAAATTTGGTGTTGAAAAGGTATAATAATATAATGTAAAATTTAGAAATTTACCAAAAAAATAGGAGTTTAATTAATAATCAACTTTATATCTTTAGAGCACTTACTAACACTTTCATTATTGTTTATCGTGTGAAATTCACTAACATACGA